AATCGTTGGAGTAAGGGCAGCGACAAGAGCTAAATTGTGAAAAACCCCCTCTCGGCAGAACACACCTACGCAATTAAATGCTCTCCCAACCCTATTGTGGACCCGACCGTAACAATATCCCCACCCCGCTTATATCCCCACTTTTGGGCTGAACGAAAGGGGGGGTATGAGTGTACTTATTTTCGATTAGATTAGTACAGTATTTTGTCATATGACTAATCTGATTACCTACATTCGTTGTTTGCTAGAACGTTGTCTCTACAGTATAAGTTCTAACCATACCCTAATTGATGATTGTTATACTGCCACAAAGAACAACAAAGATGTTCAATATGTGTTTTATGTGTTTGAAATAATCTTTGTTTATCATTAAAGTAAAAAGGGTTCAGAGGTAAATCAAACAGTTTTGTCTGGACTTTTTATTTTAATGAAACTATTGATTCGAGCCTGCCTTTTATGAGTGCATGAGGTTACTATAAAAGCAGCAAGACTATAAGAATCTCTCTTCTTCATACTAATACCTAACAATTATCAAAGACTTTTTATTGCAAGCATAGCTCATTTGCATATCACAAACCAGTTGACATTGTCTTGATTAAGCCTTAGCATCAGGAAACAGGAAGACCCAGGAGACTTTTCAATTGCCTCATTTCAATTACAAATTCTATCTTTTTATTGTTTCGCTTTGAAAGTGTGAAGTCAATAAAAGACACCCTGAACTCACCATTACTGAGCTGAAAAAGAATGTTCTCTGCACGAATATCCCTGTGGAGAAAACCATGAACATGAATCTGCGAAAGTGCCTTAATGATCTCATGACGTTCTTGATCATTCAAGCTGTCCACCTTCACAGGAGACCCAACAATCTCAGTTGCAACCAAAAAGAACATCTTCCCATATGCATATCCTGCAGCCTTGAGCTTGGGAATGTAATGTCCCTGAAGGTCTTCCAGAGCATAGTATACTTCTACTTCAGTAAGCATCTCTTCTTCATAGTCTGGATGCTTTGATAGGTCACAAATCTTCAATGCCACTTCCTCTTTTTGCCAAATAGCTCTGAACACTTTTCCACTCCGCCCATCTCCAAGAACGCTTTGTCTATCAAAATCATTCAATTGTAATTTCATAGTTCGTGGTAGTTCACTTGAACACTGTCTCCCACCTGCCACCTGATGGTGTGAGCCTTTACTACTGCCTGTACCACTTCCACTGCCTCTTGCTGGTTTCCTGCTTCCACGAGAACCCCGATTTCCTCTTCGTCTTTTTGATGGCGGTTCATCAGGTATCAGAGCAAGAGCTGGTGATGACAGAGGTGCAATGCTTGTGTGCCCTGCATGTGCGAGCAATATTAGATACGCAAAACACTGAAGTAAAGTTGGTTGCACATTGTCGATTGCGATGGCTGGCGAAATGTAAAGATTGCCGTGCGGCTCAGACGGTCTTCGGAGGAACCAGCTCTGGTTATATGTAGTGAGGACGCCGTACTGAAGGCAATTATGACCAAGATATCCATAAATTTGCTTCACCGGATGAAGTGGAGAACATCCCCCATCGCCGATTTGGTGATTCTGGCGACGGGCCTCCTCTGTGTTGTACTTCGATATGAGATTTCCAGGTGGAAAAGACAAAACCCACTTCGTTTTCACTTCGACAGCAATGAGCGGAATTACATTCTGATCACTAACATATCTGCAAAGAATAAAGTCCGGCTCCCCAGTAATTTCCTGCATAGCACTATGATCATTAAACTCTTCTGGTGGATTGCGTCTGGATCCCAAAATGTCTAGTTTACGCAATACATTCGAGCTGAGTGCTCTGCGAACTGCCTCTTCATTCGTGACCCGCGAGTATTGTTCAAACGTCGGATTGGGATACTGTGGATCGTTGTTGAGCCTTGCCGCCATGGAATTTACGTCGTTCTCAAAACCTACCCATTGAACTACTTTGATTGGTATATGAGAATAGGTGGCTGCTGAGGTCTGTGCACTTTTTCTCAAGTCAGCGTATCCCAGAGATGGTGGGATGAGTGAGAGAAGATCAGCTTCTCCAATAAGGCCGCCTTCATTACAAAGCAACAGTTAAACAAACAATGTTGCAAAGCAAAAAGCGCCATATTACTATGTCTACTCTACCCTATAATTCACAACAAAGAACTCGTATTACAGATAATTCGACCTCCGATGATTCGATTTCGATCGTTTGAGCAAGACCCGATTTCTTTTTTATTATTGTTTCCCTTAAGTACGGTCTGCCGTTAATTCGACTTGTTATTGTACGTTAATTCGACCGGAACTGAGGCGGTCGAATTAAAGGCAGTTGACTGTATATGTACCATGTCTACTCTACCCTATGTACACACACTACTCTATGTCATCGCCCGAGTCACAAAGTCGTTACCTGGTTGAGTCAAGAAAGTCTTAAGATAATTGACTTTCTCAACATCCGTAGCACAGGTTGGAAGGACTTCCTGCGCTTCGTTCTTTCTTTCCTTATGATTACTAAAGAAAGACCGTAGGGCGGTTCTTTCTTCAGTAGTGAAGTTGAGGCGA